AATCTGCTTTTTGATTCACCGATCGTGGAGTCCGAGATGGCTATGTTCGCTTCATCGATTCGATCCAATTAAACGACCAACTTTGGAGTACCATAGTTCCACTTACCCTGACTCATAAAATAGTATTACTTAATAATACTTAACCCCATACATTCATTCTGCACATTAGCTAAGGTGAGAAAAACAGCCACAGTACAATTCAATCAGGTAGCAGTAAAAGGGGAACTTTTATTATATTATTATTACTATGCACCTTAGCTAGAGGTGGAGATCACCTCAGCTGCTGTGCCGCAGTGCATAAGAAAAAGTACCTGCAACAGGTGCACAGTAGCCGAGCTACCAGTAACGGATGGGCATCGTTCCAGAAAGCTTACATCCGGCTACTATACAGCAAAAAATTTATTAAGCTAAATTTGTATTATGCTAAGAAATGCGATCACAATTGGAAAGGGAGGCTAAGCAGATTGGGGACGGACAAAGCAACTCACAACACAAACACCACTGAGGTAGGATCTTTGCCATGTCAACCAGTATATCCAACCAAATGTGCTCCTAATCTTTCAAACCCGAACTCGGGAATTTGGCGGCTCCAACTAAACTTCACTTCAACGAGAGATACTACATTTCTCTTGACTAAGTTATCAGTTAGCCTACCCTCTTCCTCTTGCACTCTGGTCGCACAAACGACGCAAGTCGCGGGAGTTCTTATGCTGGCATGCTCAACACCTGAGTCAGCCATTGGAACGTGATATATCAGTGCTAAGCGGTTCACTCGCTCTTCCTGCACCGAATACGCTCATTGCTCATGCACTGTCGAACGTAACATGCCTCTTTGAATCTATCTATTTGATGGGTCAGGTTTCACAACCGTACAGTCTGGTCTGGTACATTCTGACTGCATTGTAGACTTTACCCTTCAGAGCGAGTGCAATATCGTCCCTGCGTCACAAGTGGCGAAGATTGACAAAGGCACCGAGCTTTTTTACATGATTCCTTGATCTCATCTTTGATTCCACAGGTACTGGTACAGCTGCCCTAGTAGTTGCAAACGATAATTGTAATGAATACTTGGCAATACGAAAAAATGGTGTAAGGAAGGAATCATTGAAATCATTCGAGTCAAGTGATCGAATTCGATGGCAATTTTTTGTCCATATTACATGGACCTACCATCGCACGACGCCCATTGTCGTCCCTTTTCATTGTAAGCAGATGTTTCAGCAAGATTGAGATAAACTCCACTTGTCGCACAGTGTCTTTTCGCATCTGGAAACATAGTGAGCTCTACATGTGCAATCATCTTGTTCGCGCGTTTCGATATAGGTTTACAGGAGGTCCTCTAGTCTCTGTCACCCTTCAGCTCAAAGTCAACCGACGTTGCGGCCCATTTCGTTGTTCGCTTTTCATCCAGTCTGATTTTCGGCACGGTGCGAAAACGAGATTGAAATCAGCCCTTCAGCGGTCATAAGTCTCCACCAACATTTCGGCACTATTCAAATATGATTACTTTTTTGTCTCATTTTTTCCATTAGTCAACCGTAGTATGGAGCGATCGGTGAGCTTGAATCGCAGCTTGCTCTGATGGCTGTCTGCCTCCCAAATGTTTATTACTCGATTATCTGGTATCTTTATTCACGCTTGAACCGCCTCGTTGCTGACATTTGAAGTCAAACTTTTCAGTCTCCGGTTAACTTGCACTCACGAAACCCTCACTCAGAGATCTGCGCACACTCGACTGCTCACTTACGCGCATATTTCTGAAGCTCTATTGTCAGTCTGCTATGTGATCTGCTGCATTCTGTGTTCTCTCTTGAGCACCAAACTATTTTCTCTGGTTATCTTGAAGTAAGGGAATCACTCAGCAGTATCTTCGTTGCTTCTGTGAGACCCGTTGACTTAGCACAAGCCCGATGCGGCACAAACAGCACAGTTCACTGCGGTTGCAAGCCGCGCAAAGCGACATCCTTGTTGGCATACCTGCTGCTATCTCTCTCTCTCTCTCTCTCGACTAAATCACATCTAACACCAAGTATATCATGCTTGTGCTGCTATTTATCACGTGTGTCGAGAAGTTATCGACCTGCCTTTTGCGAGGCCCTTGCTACTTCTCACAGTTTTCTTTTCGTCTGGCCTTCACATTGAGAACCGGCTAGCTTATTTGTTGCACACGCTGCTCTTTTTAGAGCGCTGTGATTTCTGGTCCATACATTTGAAGCGTCTCCAAATCTTCTTTTCTATTTTTTTCCGTATGGTCCTGATTCCTGATTTTTGTACTCCCCATCTTCACTTCGTTGTAGAAATAACTTTTCTCATCGATATTGGACAAGTTCAAAAAACTGTCACTGGGTTTTTTCGTTTGTGGTTCCTTTCATTGTTATGTGCCGGTCTCGTTATCCTAACTCATTTCGCAATCTTGTTGATGTCGTGCAGAGCGGTGAGCAAGGACTACGAGTGAGATGAAAAGGAGGGCAAACTGTTCAGTACAGTTCAGTCGATTCGATTGAATGTACATCGCAGCACATCGAAGTGCGACACACGCACTGCTTCTTGTCATCATCATCAGTATACACGTTAGCTAGAGGTGGGAAACACCTCAACTACTGTGCCGCAATACATAAAAGGAACAAATGCAACAGATGCATGCCCGCTCAGTTACCAATACCGGATGGGCATTGTTCCGGTAAGCTACCAGGCGGCTACTAGACAACAGTAAAAATTATTTTATGCTAAGAAGTGAGGTAATGGTTGGTGGAGGAGGATAAGAGGAATGGGGTGGGACAAAGAAACTCACAGCACGAACGCCATTGAGCTCGGCTCCTAGCCATATCAGCAAGTGTATCTAGCCAAACCTGTTCATCGTCTTTCGGACCCCAACCATGGAGCCGTGACACTCCAACTGAGGCCAGCTTCGAAGTGAGGGCCTTCATTCTTCTCGACCTAGTCATCGTTTGGCCACCTCTCCTCTTCTTCCATCCACACCCCGGGGCGCAAACAACGCACGTCGCGGGAGTCGGTGGGCTGGCATGCGTAACACGTGGTCGAGCCATCGGAGCCTGGTGCGTGAACTAACGGTGCTGATCGGCTCATTTCCTTTTCCTCTGCCGTAAACAAGGCGTCGAACACGCTCGTTGCTCACGCGGTGTTCCCACCAGATGTGAGCCAAACTGCGAAGTCACCGGTGGTCGAACGTAACTAACCTCTTTATGTCTTCTGATCTAAGATACCTGGTGTCACAACCGTACAGTAGGGCCGAACGTACCGCTGCACTGTACGCAGTACCGTTCAAGGCTGTTTACAGCTGATGCCCTCAGTCGATGTGGATATCATATGGTTGTTCCCATCCGCAGTGAACAGCTGCTCCAGTAGCCGCTGCCACCAATCGTGTTTGTACTATATGCATCTTGGTGATTCCAGATCTACCCATGCCTCAAGGTGCTTACTTTGTTGATTTTCTGGTGATGCTAATTCACTCCAGAGTTTGTGTACTTCTGCCTTGTTCAACATCATCACGTCGTGGCTATGCTATCATCCTGAGAATACGAAACCTATATTTTTTGCTTTACCTGGTATCAAATTGCTGGCTTCTACCGTAAAAATACAATTTTTTCCTCCTGACGGGTAACAGTTTTCCGCTCCCATGCATCACCCTCACGGATTTACATGCACTTCTGCACTTAAGCGCAGCATATCAGCCCCTTACTATGGATGGTGGCCGATTGTAAATGGATTAGGTATTGTTTTGTTATTCTTCTCGTGTTCCCTGATTCATGAAGCTTTAGCCAAACTGTGTTACGGGCCCAGCATTATGGTTACACCAACTCGATTATCAGAATGCGAACGCACTGTTTCTCCCAAATTTGCCGTGTTGTGGTGCAGTTGACCAATGTACGCTTATCATTATCAACCAACTAAGACGGTGCACGTTGTCGACCCCAGGTGGGCGACCACGGAGTCCCGCAGTCGAAAATCCTGGCTGAACTTACTCCCTGGCTGTATTTTCTGATCGTCTGATCAAGTGTCTCACCTTTATTCTGACGCTTTAGGGATTGTTGCATCATTACCAAATAGCGGGTGGGCGTATCTTCCAACGAAATGTGAAATTACGGTACTCACCTCCAGTTAGTCCTCGGTGTTCTTTTTTCCATCTCAGATTTGCTCTGATTTCGGTGCCCCGTCTTTTTCACATCTTTCCGAGCTGAGCTCTTACTTGTCGTCTTTGCTAATTGTCATCATAGCAGCTACACTAAACAACTGGACCCACTACAGTTCAACTCTTGGATCATACTTCTTCAACTGAACTGAGCCGCTTTCTCCGGTCGCGTGGTAATGCTTTTACTTGTTTTCTACTCCCCTTAACTTTCGTGATATGCCCCATGTGTATAAACATTTGCCGAAGCTATATATTGCTTTAAAATGCTATGACTTTCGCGCAATTTATCACGGTCATCGCAGCAATACTCTATCGTGATGTCTACAAGTAACGGTCCAATGATTATCCGCCTGTTTACCTCTACCCTGTGCCGTAGCGGTCACAGTTAACGAAAGCATTCACTAATTGATCTGAATTACTATCCTGAGTCTTGTCCAACACTAGCCTCAGGTCTGTGTTTGCTCTTTCTCCATACTACATCTTCACTGGAGACTGGTGGACCCCATCCAGCTCTCTTTTGGGGCTATAGTACAGGTCCACCGTTGTCAATCCATTATATGCGACCCGTTCGCCCTCATCGAATCCTGTTCGCTTTGCTTTGCTTAATATCCTCCCCCGGTACATGTGCTTTGAGTATGTGGATAGCGTTTTTCAACATTCAACGCAAGGTGCTTGAACTTTCGAGTCCAATACCTGTCCAACATCTCACCGCCACTGTTGATGGCGTTTGGCAGCCGTGCCTTCATATTCGGATGAACCTGACTGATTGTATACTGCTTTTGCTTTTTGCTTCAACAATCGCAGACTGCTTCGTACAAACTTCCATTTTGCTCCCATCCCCTACACTTAGGCGGAGCAGAACAAAGTCACTATCGAGGGTCTACTCAAGGAACGCAATTTTTATTTCAACAAATTACGGTCTATTGAACTTTTATGTCAAGAAAACCCTGACGTGGAACTAACGAAACGGTTATTCGATATCCTCTACGCAACTGAGGTGAGTGTTTTCATGTCAACCGGAATTTCGCCCCTTTGTCACTCATCACACACCTGTATCATTCGTTTTGGATAGGGTCACGACACATCTTTGACCATTCGCGACGATTCACTATGCTAATTGACTGCGTCTTTTGTCTCAGCAACTCGTTTCGTTCACTTTACAGCACATTTTGGATATAAAAATCAATGTATTTCATTTCCTTGAGTTTGTTATCTTACCTACTCGTTTGATGTCTCTTTTTGCTTTGGATATCGGCTACACATTTACGTTTTTTGTATTATTTCGAGATTGCGATTTACTCACATAGTCCCGGGCTTAGTATTTGCCGCCTGTTCTTTTTTTAAACTAACTTCGACTAAGTGACTTTCGATAGTTTTCCCCACTGAGTTCTGCCCTCTCGCGTCCAGTTTACACCGTTGTCAGTTAGCCGTATGCAGTTTGCAGGTTATCCATTAAAACTACTGCAAATTGAGTGACAAGTTTCACTTAAAAGCTCGTTTCCTCTCCTCCTTTTGTCAGAATCCGGTCACCTTGATTCTTAGTGGACCTGCTTTGCGCCTTCCGCACCACTGTAATCTCCCTACCTGTTGGCTATAACACAAAAGCAAGACTGAACCTTAGCTCTAAAAGAGGTTTCAGGTGAACTAACGGTAGAAGTGTTGAGCCGGATACCCCTGGCAACTCGAGCGCATCCAATTCATCCGCGTGTTTCTACTCACCGATGTAGTTGATTTCATGAGTCTATAGCGACAAACCCGTGACTGCTCTCTTTGGTCTGCTCTTGCTCGTTGCTGTGTTGTCGTCTGACTTCACTCACACAGCTGCTTTTCTGTTTGTTACAGTAGGCATGGTTCAACCAACCTGGGCGAATCATGAGCGCATAGCTAACAGGCTTCTTGCCAGTTGACAAATAGCACTAATGTTACTCGGTCGTCCCGCTATGAAGAAGCAGTGCCAAATGATCGCATATAGCTTCACAATGACTGTACCAACGATACGAAGCCTAAACTAAGTACGTCGTAGGAAACCTAAACTAGCGACTACGAACCAATAAACCTAGACTTAACGCACGGTCTGAGCAGAAGAATAAAACGAATTATTCTGTAACCGTGTTTCTATAAGGCATATTAAATACAGTACATGACTTACGAATAAGTTTTGCCATCGTAGTGCAAGTGGGCAGAAATTGTAAAGCGTACGGGAATTTGGGCAGCGTCACAGTAACAGAATAATATGGATGACCTTGAACCGTCAAGGATATGTCAGTGATCCAGAGTGAAAGGAATAAATGTACAATATGGTAACCGATTGTATCACACAGAGTGAAAGCAATGTAAACTGAGCAGAATGATTATGGAATAGAGATGCCGTGTCCTCAAGTAAGCAATCCTGGTTGGGGGTTTCGGACTTTACAATGACCTCGATATGACTTACGAGTGGTCAGTCCATAATCATTCTTAATTCAACGTAGATAAACCTCGAGTGCTCTATTTACGACGCCAATTGGCTCACACCTATAAGCTGGGCGAAGAGCATCTCCATTGTCTTCGCGAAAAGACCCCGATGTATTAATTCAAGATTTATGGTGCTCGGCACAGTTCGAAATAGCATCAAAGTAGGGCGTCCAAAAGGCCAAGCTCTTACGGAGAGTTTGACTTCCTCAACTCATCGGTCTTACTCAATGTAGGCCCTCACGCAGAACACATATTTCGTCTGGTAGCTATGGCAGAAGCGGGATCTCACTGTGTTGGAGACTGCAACATCGAGCCACCGAAACGTCACATTACAAACAGCGGCTAAGAGTTTTCGGTGAACGCTATCTGCATTTGCGTGGGGACCTTATCATAGCTTATAAGATTTTGCACAACCCTAATCAATCGTGCTGTCGTCTGCTAACACTGTCTCAAGATGACAGAATAATACTGTCGCTTGTAGTGTGGACGAAATTTTTCACTGACAGAAATCAAGACCAAACGAGTGCTGGGTTAAGAACTCTTTTCGCGTAAACTCTCAACAGACCCCAACTTTTACCTGTCGACCGGTAAACGAGTGGTCTGCGCGCATGGTTTACAACCATAAGGCCACCTGTTCGAATCCGTGTAGGGGTAGGCGTCCTCGCGGTATGCTCAGCCCGCACGTGACTGGTGATGGTCACGTGACAGTGAAGCGCCGTTATGGCGTACAGCTGGAGACCCATGCGTTTGCCACACTTGGAATTACCTTCCGGTAGCTGCTTTTCATCACCACCACCCCGCATTAACTGTGTTCAAAAATAGTGTCGACGGTGCTTTGGACGCATTATACCATATAATATAACGTACATGACCCATACGAACATCAGCAAGCCGAACCACGCCAACCCACACCCGTTTTATTGAGAAAATCAAAACAGAAGCATTGCAAATTTCATAAAATCATATGTGAACGATTCGGACGGAGGTGGTTTTTTTCACTCTTTGTTGTTTTTCTTTTGCAATCCCTAATCGATTATCCGTCAGAACATGGTAAGTTTCGACTTTTTTGCTGTTCACTATATACCATTGACTCTCCACAACGACCCAATAGCTCTTTGTTTTATTATTATTATTATGGTGGACAAACTTTGGATGCCATTGCTGGAACACCTATTTTCGTGGATGATAAAGATCCTATAAGCCTGTCGAATCTATGCTCTGTGGTGTCCACTCCCAGCTAGTTAACACGCTGAATGAATTCTTGCACTTTGGTTACTCCGCAGAACTATTGGGCGTTTGGCCTTGTACCGTAAAAAAATACCTTACACTTTGTAGATGCAAATCAGATTGACAAGCAGAGAGCATTTTTCATCACAAACTGGACACCCCTGTTTCGGTTACCTTCATGTCTACTTATCCGATTTGCTTCATCAACTGAGCCTAGTTGAAAGGGGGCACCATCGTCGTCATTACTATTAGTCATTCTGATTTGTCTGCTGCTAATCATTATGACCGGCTCGGTTTCTATCAGTGCGCTTCGCTAAAACGATGCGGACTACACTCGTCATTATATAAATTTGCGTCAGCCGAACACCATGGCCCCAGATTTCATTTGGAAGAATACCAGCACTGTCTTAGGTGAAGTCCTCTGCTCTCGTCAATCGGGCAGCATATTCCACTTCGGAGAGTGTGTGAGTTATAATCAGCTATCGTTAAAATAGATCACTTGTCACAGACCGTTTGTGTTCTTTGTTCCCCGATAAGGTGATGAAATGGCATAGGTCATAACCCATGCTCTTCGGAGCGTGGTTTGGAGGCATTCACTATACACCAATTCCCACACTTAGGAATGTGTTGCAACTGCTCACATGTTGACTGTTGGACATCGTGATCCACAATGCATTCTTATGCGATCCACCTTGGCCGAGCAGATTTCGAACTAATCCCTCAGGCTAAACCGTGGAAATGTGATTGAATTAGTCATCCAACGCCGCTTGTCATTGCAAAATCCGAATATACTATATACTATACTATCTAACACTTGACCAATGTACACTTGGTAGTGCCACAACACATAGTTAACAACAACAAAATGCAGGGAAATGAGTAGTCATTGCAAGAATTTAGAACGTTTAGAAGGCTGAGTAAGCAGAGATCTTCCCGGTCATCTAGGCCAAGGAATAGGGTTGACTTAAGGGACCTCACCCCGAGCTTTTGGTCTTAAGACCTAACCCGCAAAGCAGCGGGGCGAATAGCAACAATGCGTACAGTATTGGCGATGAATTTGAGTTATTTCTTTGTGAACATAAAGTACTCTACTCACTCCTAGCTTGTCTACTCGGACACACTTTACGCTTCTTTCTTCGTCCGCCCATCTTGACTCTTTTCGCATGACGGGTGAGTCGCTATCCCAGTAGCGAGATTCACTGAAATTCACTAACCGTCACGCACCCTCTTTTCGGAACCATTCTTCTGATAGTGAATTAGACGTTTACACGAGGGATGCATTAAATATTAGCTCCTTGTAAATGTCACACGTTATGATCAACAGCTGGTTGCCATTATTCCGCGGCCTGACATTTTCTCGATATGTTTGCGTTTGAAAGCAGTTTGTTTTAGTGTCCCCATTGGATTACCCTGTACACCTCTCTTCCTGTGCATGTCTTGTCAATGGAGATCAGCTTTTTACTCTTTTTTACGTATATGGTGACTCCAGCTACGTGCAACTTTGTGCAACAGACACAATGTGTTTACAGAAGTGCACTCTGTCTCCAAAATGGGGGATGTTCAAGAGCCGAAAGCAGAGATACTTTTAAGTAATGTGGAGTATCCTCTCTTTGGGAAAGTATCCTAAACATGACACGTAAATGAGTCCATCCTTTATTAGATTTTTTATACCTCATACTCCTGATTGACGTTGGAAGCTCAAGATTTGATCCCTCTTCTCTTGGGATTATGAAAGGGATTTTTATGCAGATGCCCGCTCCGTTTTCCTGTTTCTCTTATAGACCCACTCTTGGAGATAGGAATGGTGGATAGATTTCCGCAACTTGTAGTCCATCGCCGAGCGTCGGGAACCTGTACCAACGCTTCGGTGCCACGCAACCATTCGCTGTCACCTACGGACTGGGATACTGCGAAGCCCCACACCACTCAGCAGACTCGATCCGGTTATAAGACGGATACCTAGATCATTGCACTATCGATCGGGCGTTTGGCAATCGCGTCCAGTGATGTTACTGAGTATTAAAAACAACCGTGCCCTTAGTGTCCGCGATTAGTTTTTTTAGTTAATACTAATGGTAATGTTTACTCAGGAAACCCGTCCAGTTCAAGTGTCCACTAAGCTCCCCGTTTCACTTCCTTCCTTCTAATTTGTGAACATGAGGACTGTACCAACGATACTAAGCCTAAACTAAGTACGTCGTACGAAACTAAACTAGACACTACGAACAGATAAACCTAGACTTAACGCACGGTCTGGGCAGAAGAATAAAACGAATTATCCTGTAACCGTGGTTCTATAAGGCATAATAAATACAGTACATGACTTACGAATAGGTTTTGCAATCGTAATGCAAGTGGGCAGAAACTGTACAGCGTGGGGCGGATCGAGTATTTGGGCAGTGTCACAGTAACATAATAATAAGAATGACCTTGAAACCTCAAGGATGTGTCAGTGAACGAGTGTAAGAAATAAATATAAGATATGTTAACCGCTTGTAAAACACAGTAAAGCAGTGTAAATGTGCAAGATAATCAGGGAAAAGAGATACCGTGTCCTCATGTAAGCAATCCAGTTTGGGGGATACATCGAAGTTCCTTTTGGACTTTACAAGGACATCACTCGCAACATTGAAGTTGCAGTTTTGGTATTCTACTTGGTTTTTCTGAGTCCACCTGCTAAATTCATCTTGGTTTGTTTGCGTTGCGAATGGTGTTTTGCACCGTCTTCATACGTCAGTAGATCGATTTCGTATACCTTGAAACCGACATCATATTCTACCATTTATTTTATCCAGATTGGCCTGGTGTAAATCACATCTTTTCTTATACAATGATTCAGAATCGAGAGATATCAGTCTGGGGAGAGCTCGAATGTCTTAGTTCAGTTCAGTTCGTCAACTTTGGCCTGTGCACCCAAACACAGCCGATCCTGTTGTCTTGATGCACATCGCCAAAATGATAATATTAATAACTCCCATCGGACAAAGGAGAAATTAAACCATCAGCGAGTATTGGGGGGGATTTATTATGTTTTTGAGAAGATTCATCACTATTACTATTTAATCGCCTTAGCAACTTACATCTCACCTCGATTGGTGGCGGTCCGTAAAGGAGATCGTAGCTCCGGGAGGCGGCCCTGTTCTCTGAACGTTCACAATCTGTATGACAGTGGTGAGTGAGCCGCGCTATATCGCAGTTAATTCTCAATCACCCATGGCTCAGTGGCATAAATCGCACAAGTTGTACAAGTAAGATCATGGGTTCGTATCCGGCAGGGTTCATTGACGAGTCCCAATAGGACGAAACGGCGGTCTGAAGCTTTCCCGGATGTGTGGTAGCTGCCTGAGTCTAGCTGCGATAAATTTTCTCAAAAATGAACCATTAGTTTGAGTGACCAAGTGTCCGAAATGAAAGAGGGGCAAATGCAGTCGCATGGCGGACTTCCAAACTGCCCCGTTTTCGATAGGATATTTAACCACTGGGTTGACCGATTCCGTGGGCATCACTCAGAATAGGACAAGGACGTCACCCGACAGCTTTGCGGTGCGTTTCGTCATACTCATCGTCGCAGGGTCTCAACTAGCTAGGCGTAGTATTGTTGACAAAGAATACTCATCGAGGCGATCGGGCGGTGTGCATACACAGCGCTGAAAGTGACCCGCTTTCGGTACCATCTGTTAAACCCCAGTACTCCACAATATATGTAGACAGAGAGAAAAATCGAAGGATCTTTCACACGTTTTGCATTGCACGACACGTAACAATAGTTGCCTCATCACGGCGTTCGTCTTTTCAAACCCTGCTTTTCCATCTTTGGATTGTGAAACGAGACTTGGAGCGCTATCAGACACGTCTACCGTGACCCACTTTTGCCGAGCATGTCTTTGACACATGTTGTCGGCATTTGACCGTCGAACGACTGTTGGCTGTTCCGATACTAGTGGTCAGTTCATTCCGCATGAACTATGCACTCTTCTGGCAACTGTCATCTCAACAGCATAGTAGACCTCCGCATATACCAGGAGGCTCCTTGGTGTGTGTACGACCTGGCATTTGGATAGTATTTCCATTCACGCCGTCACAACGGTCTCTCCAGACTAAGCTCATTACGAGCTTTGTACTCGACTTCTCAGCCACTGATCCTACTCTAGTGTTTCGAATGACTTGATATCATGCTCATCAATACCCATTAACTGAGGGTGGGAAATACACCTCAGCTACTGTGCCACAATGATGTTCTTTTGCCTGGACATGAAGTTGTCGACTGGGCCGGAGCGATGCTCTAAGATTGCGTGTGAGTCGAAACTAGAAGATTAACGAATATTGTACTAAGAGGAGGATCAAAAATTCGGGGATTGAAAACAGGGAGAATAAAAGTGAAGTTGGAGCGGAGTAAGAAGATGAGAAGGCTTGAGCAGTAGCATCCAAACCCCTATCCACCCTGCTCGATGCAGCAGATAGGGCGCCGTTTACTTTGTGACGGCCATAGTATCCAGAAATTGTTTGAAGAAAAATTCATAGTATTGCGTGAGCAGGATACTGTCAGGTTGCCCAGTCCTAGACAGGAGAACGATTAGGGTTCTCAACCAAGGCCTTTCGTTCAAAAATCTGACCGCAAGGCAGCGGAATTTTGTCACTGAGCTACAGAGAGTTTGTTTTATGGAGTAAGGAGCCATCCTCATTCCAACCCCCAACTTGGCGAGCCAGGAAACTGAGTTGGTCTAGCCTCTAACCATTGACCAATATGGTATGAGTGTCTCTCAAGGTGCAAAAGCACCACCCAGCATAGCCCGATGGATCGCTGAGGCACGCATACCATCGCACCACGTTAAGGTTCAGTCTCGTTGCGATGGAAAACCCGAAAACTCCGAGTGCATAGGTGAGTACAAATTACGGCACTCCTGTTCGATCCTTTCTTTTTGCTCTCACAGTTCATCACCATACGGCATTGCATCCGTGTACCGTATTTCCATATGACGGGGTTGTTTTGGCGCACAGCCGTTTCTTGTACGCTCGAGTGCATTCACTTCGATTTGCGATCGATAACCTCATGAATGATGCAAAAAGTGCCATCTGTTCATGATCTGAGTCCTCACGTTTTTTCTCAAACGTTCACTCCCCCGTTTTGCTTTTTCCGTGCTTCTGGCCACATATTATACGCTTAACAGTCATCCCGGACACCAAACTGTTAGCCCAGTATGTTTCTTTTGATGACGTAGTCATTTTTCACCACCCCAGATTGTCCCTACTGCTCAGCCAAGCTGGACTATTTCCACCCAACCGACTATTTCATTGGTCTGAACAAACAAACGGCTAAACGCCAGCAGTCTGTCGCACGTATCTCGTTCGAGTATTCGTTTTCCACTGTGTTTCGTGCTACCCGTCCAGATAACTGATTTCACTTCGCCAACTTCATCGTTGGATCTTCCGGTTGTTGTACGGGCGAGATTTATACTCATCAAATGAGACAGAATTGACAGTACCAAGTAATAACACAATACCGGTGAATATTATAGGGACTCAAACAGATTTCCAATGGTTTTGTTCAATAATACCATCTTTAGCATTGAGAAATCCTGTTACGCGTAAGCTAACTTGTCCACCTACTTGAATTAAAGTTTCCTGCTTACAATCGACATTACTCTGACCTTCACAGGCCATTAACCTCTTTAGACAGCGCTCCATGCGTAGTTGTTCGATGGATAGAGGCGTAGAGTGGATGTGAATCAAATGTACAGCCTTACTCATTCACATAATGCCCTCTATTTCATGCACATTCAACTCTACGTTTAACAGCTATTTCCAGAGCGTTAATTCTAAGACTATGTGGGTAGAGGTAAAGGAGCATTACGTGGTCCTCACTTATTACTATCAAATCTGTGTACATAACTGTTAGACGCTCAGATGTTTTTTTTTGAAAAACTGTGTCAATTCGTCTGTCCACTTCCCGATCTTCAACGGCATTTCTTTCAACTCAGAAAAGCCATAGCACAATATATCAAGTTCCTTGAGATCGTTTTAAGTGTGAGGAGGTGATTTTCTTGTTTTCTTCTAAACCTGATGTTTAATGTCTTTACGGATAACGTTTCCTACGGTTCCTTAGCAAACATGAAGTTTCCCTGCAGGTGACCTCAATGATTTCCTGGGATGTATAGACGAAAGATCTGGCGACCGTTAAAAATCGAACTTTTTCCAAACTGTTGTTTCGGGCTTTCAGGGTCGCGATTATAACATGCCTTTTCACGAGTTGGCTGAGTGGCCGGGATTATTGTTGGTTCCCCAAAAACTGTAACAATTGATTGGATTTAATGTGCTTTTACACGCGTTACACATCTCGTTCATTGTTCCTTCACTGTTTCTCCCGCAGTTTGCAATATCGCGCCTTCGAATAAGAGACCATTGTTTGCTCTCTTTACATGCTTACGCAACCTTTAACAACTTGCCATCGATTCGGTGACCGATCTCTTCATACTCTGTTCCCTGTTTTAGGATGGCTTCGCTGCACCCGACGGTGATGAACCTGAGGAATTCTAAGCCTCATCAACCTGCTCTGTCGGTTTCATTCGGCTCAACTGACAGAAATAACGGCGTTGAACATCCTAAACGGTTTCCAGTAAATGTCATTACCGTTCTCAACCAGAATCCACCCCTCCCCAAGTAACCGTTACCTGCGTTACTGCTTTGAAGTGCATTGACTTTTGTTTCCTCGGCTGCTTCTTCTTCTTCTCGCCTTTCTCGTTTATACTTATGTATATCCCTATTTTGCATCCTGTTCGTTCATTTTTGAAACTTTCACACTACTCTCACAACCGAGACGGCGCTCATTCGCACACCCCACGCGTGACGTGATCTCGTGCCTCCATCATCCAGTTCACGTCGTCTCACCGGTTGGTATATTTTCGCCACTGTATGAGAGGTTATCTTCCCTGCTTCTTGATGAATACCTTTACCAGTTTGCTTTTTCATACATTTTCTTTAATGCTCATTTTGTGTTCATCTGTCGCTCGTGAGTTATCCCTCCAAACACTTATTGCTGGCCACTCTCCTAGGCACCACTGTTCCGACAATGTGCTCACACTCGCCTCATTTCCGAACTGTTCATCAGCAGACTTTTGATCATTAGTCTGCGCAGCATTGCGCTCTGTCCCCATGCATGTATGTGCGTGCATTTTTGAGGTCATGCGAGCCGTGCGCCTCTTACCGGTCGTTGAACACAATAAAGTATTAATGTATGATACAATTCTATTCTTTCTCCTCACATTGCGTTATTTTCACGAATGTCACATGACGAGCACGTGCAACTGTAATAGAGCAGCTCAATCCGGATGCCGAATCGCCGTGGCGTACGATGCCCATATTATGGGTCGCGGTTCTCCTAGAGATGTTGATGAATGCAGAAGCAACAGCCAATGGAACGCTCGATTACGTGGGTAGTTGCTATTAAGGTTATTCGTAACTTGGGATTTACATGAGCGATTTTAAATTGTTCTCCGAGTACGCCAACGTTCTCTCATCAGGCTGGGCACCGCGTCACTACGCTACTTTTTATTAGGCCAAGGGGCCACTGTTTCTTATCTGTTCTTGTTTCGTCGCTTAGACTTAGACTCTAGCGGACAATTCATTATCCTGGATTCGGTCTTTATCCCCACTTCTGATTAAAGGCTTACCTTCGCCTTACGTATGTTGTCGGTGTGCCCAGCCACCCACTGTGGCCCCTCTATAACGGAACGAAGTCACCGCGGAGCTGCCGCATGGTGCTATTATAAAAACGGGTGATTCGCGTTCGGATCTCACGCCAGCTAAGCGCCTACATTGTGCGCGTTTTCCCATCTGTCAGGACTATCGCGGCGCTTAGATACTTGTCACCTGAATCCATTTACCTGAGGCGTTATACGGGCTGTTGCATTATAAGCCGGATCCGGAACGGCTAGTGTGATTCCCGTCCTTACAACAACCAGTTTTATTTGCTGAACTTGCCTGATAAATTAAGCCCACACATGGCCAGGTAAAAGCCACGCCTACGCCGACATCCGTGGCTGTTTAGCTTGACGTGTAGTCTTGCTCGTAGCCTAAAGAATCACAAGTCCGCCTTTTAATCCGAGCGACCTTCGCAATATCCGTTGTCCGTGCGCGTCCGTTGGTCCTTGTGCGGCAGCGAAACGTCGGTACTGCGTACCAGGGTACCTAGCCCGGAAATGGGCTCTTCATTGAGAGATATTCTTTGATGTGTTTTGAAGTGTAAACAACACTCACATATCACCTTTTACTGTGACGGTATATTGCAATTCCACCCCTGAATAAGGTCATTCCGGATCCAACTCTCGGCCTCATGAATTGTACGTTGTTTTCCCCTAGTTGTTACCACTACTTTATCGATGCTCATTCATGGCGCGGCTCGCTCGTACACCTCACAACTCGAGTGTAACATGTGTGATCCTCTCGGTCGGAGGGTCGCTGTGTGCGTAGTCCAATTCTGTTCAGTTCAGTTGGAAAACTATGCTCATTTACCGAGAGGTGCAGTGGTTCCAGTTGCATGACTCACCATAATAATGATTAATAAATAACACATCGGTAAGAAAATGAGTTTGAACGCAAACAAACTATAAAGAGAATAAAATTGCCATTATCCTGATCTTGTCGCAATCAATTTCCGTATACCTTTATACCCCGTCACGGTTTTTGCCCAAATTGGTACAGCCATGGTGCATAATGCTTACCGAGGAATTGCCTGAATGAATTTGCAATAGTGGGTTCGGTCATATGGACAGTTGGAGCTGGAACCTCTATACCAGGCAAGGCATGAAAGAAAACTGACTATCGATGTTCCCTTCTGCCGGCCACAGCCCGAAAGATATCAATGCAGAATTTTATCATCAACTTCCACTTTTCATCTACATGGTTAGAAATAAAGATATAACTATCACTGTAGGCGTCGAATGTTTATGAGAGCTCACACTTAGTCTTGAAGTCCACTTTGGGGTCCGTTCCATCCGAATGATGATGGTGACCGGTTCCTCAAAGTGTGCTCCAACCACAACCTTCGCATCAGTGGTACCGCTCCTCATCACATATGTTGGCACCACGACATCCGGCGCACATGAAACGAAGCAACTTCCTAGGCGTCGCTTGATTACAACTTTTCGTGCACTACGTGAGAAATACAACTCCTGGGCTGCGCGTGCATTGCAGCAACACGTGCCACTCCATTCAGGTCAATGTGGAATAACGCACATCTGTTCACTATGCTACTAGCGTAATTCACTCGGCAGTAGTTTCTTCTATTTGATTGCAAGAGGAAACTGACATGTGAAATCAGTGCATCCACAAGCGCATCGCAGTTCGTCTATTGTGCCACAGGCAAGCAAGCACTAGCTAATCACTCGCCTGTTCCCCTAGACTGATCCGTGTACCACGGTCCGAAATATATCTAGCGTCAACATGTAAGCCGAAGCCTCACGCTGTATTAACTCACACTTAGCAACCGAATGCACCTGAATCACCTCTGGAGGTCATAAAGCTTGTCTCGACTAAACCCAAGGTGAGAAAACAGGTCACCATAGGCTCACTCTGTCGGTCCCCAAACACATCGTTCGGTAGTAAGCCTGGTATAATGATCCGATCGGATTAGCTAATTACCCCTTTGACCGATGGGACGCAGCGGAGAGGTTTTAGTTTTCTCTACCCGGTCTGTTTCAGCACTCAAACCACAACGAATGAAGTAACCCGAACTGATTCGCAGACTGGTCTGCAATTCCCCTGTTAATCACCCGTCGGCTTAACTCGTGCAACGGGCGTTTGCCCCACTTGTCCTTTTCGCATCTGGTCTGGTATTGTTTCACCAGCCGTCGAGCTAACAGTTCAGACATCTGGCTTGTAGTTCACGAGTCACTGTTTCTAGCATGCTTAAACGAGGACGGCCTTGCGATATCTCCAACCCGCACGTGACTGTAGATGGCTATGATGTGGCAGCGAAACGTTGTCTCGAAGTGCCGACTCACTGTTGATAACTTTTTTCTATTGTCGTTCAGCGCCCTCACCAGTTACCAGATGCTTAATAGTCAACTCATGCATAATAGATGCCCACCTTCGGAACTTTGTCAGGTTTGCCAAAGGATGTATGTCTGCAGTTGTACCGAAAATCCATCTATTCCTGACTTTTTTGGGTAGACGGATTTGGCAAGATTTATTTGGTTCATCACGGCTGGCGGCGGTGTTGGAGATGAGGTCTCACAATGGATCACAAAGGTACGCCTTGCATTCATTAGACGGAGACCACTTATGACGTCGTCGCTGTGCCAGTCTCAAGCTGGAGGGCAAGGATGTACATTGCCTCTGTCCGTGCGGTCCTCTTATACGGCTGTGAGACTTGGCCTATTCGCTCGGAAGACACGAAACGACTGTCAAGTTTGGCAATCATTTCCGCCTATGATTGCTCGTTTCTGTATGCATCATCATGTGAGCAACATAAATTCGATACCGAATGCTTGGAGCACAGTCCATGCATTCAAAATGTTATTTTCCGACACCTCATACGTTGCCTGGGTCGCGTATTGCGCATGCCAGCCTATCGCCTTCTCCGTCGAGCGTTATTTGCGCTCCCCGAAAGCGATTGGGAAAACTACCGCTTTGGACAGCCGATGACGTGAAGATGCATGAAAATGGCAATCTGAATTTTAGCATGCATATATATATATATATATATATATATATATTTATTTATGCCCCTTGCTGAGGCTGATGTTGCATTCATGATGCTTCATCACCGCAGTTGGGCTAAACCAACTTACACTTAAACTAGGTCTTTTTAATGTGGATAAAATCCATTACATGTTATTTGGTTTGTTCTGCGTACCTGATAATCTTCTCCTTACTTGCACACGTCGCTCACGCAAATTGTGGTAAACTTGCGTAATTTTATCGCGTGGTATTTTTTAAATCACTTTCGGACATTGTACTTATCACGGATTCACTTATAACCAATTTCTTCTATACGCTCATTTAGCGAGTATTTATGTCGTCATATGCGTTTATTTTAATCGATATCGGCATTTCGTATGATTGGCTGTTGTTTGACATCCCAGGTGTGACTGCGCTTGATGTGCATGTTGACAAGGTGCCTACCTGTCTATTACCCACTACCTCGTCCATACTGGCTCCAGGAGACAGTTGGTCGTTGCTGGATGGGACGGGTTGCACGGTCCTTGTGGTCGTGCTAGGCTCGAAGAGTGGTTCCATGCAGTCAGTGTGGAGCGGACTACGGTCCAGCCACCGTCTTGTGTGCACTTGATTCCCCAAATACAGCGTGCTTGTGTTTGTCTGTGAAGGAGTGTGGGCCGGCTCCGTTGATGAAACGTGGCTCCCATCCGCATGCCTCCCGGTCTTATTCCTTCGGGTTTACACTGGATATGGGGTGTGTGGATGGAGCTGTGGGTGGTGCAGCGCAATCCATCCATGGTCCCTCTGTAGGCGCAGGCGTCCTGTGGTTGGCCACAATGACAGGCAAATCCGAAACCGGATACCGCCAACCATATATATATATATATACATATATATATATATATACTACAAACCAAATGGTCCGCTACTAATCCGAAAAAGCACCAACCGATCTTTTCGCCTTATTGGGACTCGTCAGTAATACCCATTCCATCGGTCCACTTCAGGGAACTGACACCACGACTGCTAGTGGCTTGCACCAGTAAGTTATGTCACAGTCATGTGGTGACGACAGTCGACCATCGTTGATTGAACTGCGATGTAGCTTCACTACTCCTTGCAGACTTCACTTTTTGCTAATGCCTAGTAGCTGAGGTACTAGGCGGTAACTGATGCGCTTTTTGATTAAAGTAGCTCGATTGCATTCTAGGTCAATATCTTTTTCTGTGTCCTGCAGCGCACTTATGTATTGTGGCCCCCAGGGGAATTCCCGTATCTCATATGGCGAGTGGATTCTTTAACTGTCAACCAACTGCAAGTTATTGATCATCTCATGGTTTACAAAGTCCACTGTGCCGCTCACTGATTCCAGCAAGAGGTTGTCTGCTACTGATTGATGACGCTTACAAAATGTTGCTCATCTCTAGTGAAGTCACCTTGGTGTCACTCATTACCTGCTAACGGATCCCTTGCGCCTTGCACGTCCTGCCCTTGGCACGTCTCTCAGTTTTCTAATGCGGTGGTGCTCTTACTTTAAACCCTACGCTCCTAACTGCTATTCCCTACCTCCGGTAATACAAACGTGTCCTCGTCCCTTCTCTGTACAGATCTCAGTTGGCGGCCTCCGTCGCACGTTTTTCTTATGTATTCCATTGCGACACACGGGCTGCGTCCTTCTCCACCCTAGCTAACGTGTGTAATGACGATGACTTTACACTAATGAATTCTTCGCATCAGAACTGTTGGAACAAACACCTGGGCTTTATAAGAAGAAGTTTTCTAACTACCTAACAGTTGCATTCGCGTCGATGAATCTAATTGTGTGTCTTTTTGTCCGCGTTGTTCACGTATTTCGTAGTTTCATCCGCAATATTGAACAACAGTGTCAATGTGTTTGCTGAACAGCACTAGCAAATAAACACAAGCGATTTAGATCAGCGCTACATCCGACTTGATTTCTTGGTCTTTCTAGTGTCTGCCCTGTAGCTGTGCTCAACCTAAACCAGTGAGAATTTCTATCTTTACGGTAGTGTACATCAGTCTTCTCTTGCTTAATCCAGCGGATAACGTGTTATTGATCCAAACTAGTTCCGCGCTCACCATTAGATGATGCGACAATTCCGCTTATCGACAAATTCCGACTCTCGTTGTCGTTCTCTCTGCTTCTTATGTCATTCCAATGTTGATGCATCCTCTGGCTCGAGGGCTCGGGTGTCTTGTTATACAGTAATAATGGATAGTCGTTTCGGTGACATCCGATCCCGGACTTTTCTCTTGTTGGCCAGAATCTCCCAAATTCTGTCCAGTGCATTATCATACTCGGTTATACATGGCCTGATCGCGCCCCAGCTTCTTCCGACTTACAGCTGATCAGTCTTCTGCGGGAAACGTGCGCATAAGAACCGCCGATGGACAATTGGACCAACCTAGGGCAGTCCCCCACGATGCAGTTGCTTTGAGATATTTGCCAAAGCCTCACGCCGCTTTAATCTTTAGGACTGTTCAGTTTCACTGTTTGGGCGCATTCCGGAGTTCTACTCGGCAAGAATGACTCATAGTACGTGTTGGTACAGAAGTACCAATCTCGTGCAAGATCAGGAGGACTTGACATCACCGGCACGATTGCTCTGGATCATCTATCACCTTAGTCATACGGCACGATTCACCTCGTCTTCTGATGAAGAATTGGCCGTACTCTTTCTGCTGCACCCACACGAACCAAGATGAAAATGCCGCGTCATACCGATGGTCATTACTGTCAAAAACGGGTACATCTTGCATACAAACTGTGCAACACATTGCGCTAACCATCCGTCCACAATCAGGTCTCGTTGTGGTGAGATGTACGCGCGCGCACATACACCGATTGCACTAAACATTAGGGTGATTGGGACTACAACGCACGATAGATACTACGTGTGTTCAAGTGGTGTTAACAAAAGATGAGCAGTTGGGTCTTTGATGTGAGTGCACAAGGAAGGATAGATTTAAAGGTTCACCATTCGATTTATCTTTCAGTTCGTTCTGTCTGCGTGGGCGTCTAACCGTGCCTCGCGAGGTCCAAGGAGCGGATCGACTGCGGTACTCGCACGCTGCTGCTCATACTGTGTGTGTGTTTAGAGTCACGCAAAAACTGCACATTTGTTTCAATGCTTCAACGCATCTTGGTACCCTATATACGGATTGTAATATGTGTAATGGGGTGAACTAGCTTGATATCCTCTCTGTGTCGAGGATGTGCCCACAGGTTGGATCTGATAGAACTTCGCCGGACGAAAGGCTTGCCTGACTTCAGGAGCCGTAGGCTGAGCTTGAACGTATCTCCAAGGATCATCACTAATAGGTCTGTTATGATGATATGTGCTCGCATAGTGACCTGGTGTATTTTGTAGCTTTTGCGCTCTTCTGATTTGCACACCGTCTTCTTCATTCTCCTTTTCATCCGGGCCTTGCATCGCATCGCAGCGACCCTTAGCTGCTCTGCGAACAAACTTGTTTAGCCTTCGGCGCCAGGATTCCCGCCAGGGTAAAACGATACTGCTCGCATCCAACAGCAAATCCATCCGATTCCCATGAGGTATCTGAAAACAGCGATGGAAGAAATTACGGTTAGTTTATTTGATATCGCATAAATGTTGAGACCAAGCTACCCACTAGGTTAGTGGTGAACGTCGATACTTCCTGGTTTGCATCCTGTTTACCTTATCCCCATACCAGTATAAAATCAATGTGCTTCAGGCAACAAGTAATGCAGGTCGCGTTGCGCCTTTCAGTATTCCCACTCACCAACTGCGTCTGGTTTCGGCTTGTCGTTTCAGAGCTTACTATCAGTCGGGTTGCGGGTTCTAACCCCACAGCGCACTGCCGATAATTCCCGAGAAGATGAAACGGCCGTACAGTAGTTTTCAAGGCCTGTTACGGCGGTCTGGCTTATTCCAGATATGATGAATTACTTATGCCAAATCGGAATTTACAGTACATTTGGAACACCAACCTTAACTCTGACCGTTGTTGTTATGCTCGTGTCTAGCGCTTTATCCAACGGCTTCTAGTTAGCTACGCATCTTTTGTACTCTTTATTCAACCGTGCCTAGTTACAATGTTAGCGGCCAATGATGAGCGAAGTGGGCAAATCTAGTGCCGATTGGAATCGACACTAACTTGAGAAGTACGCGTGGCGGATGTACTTTTGTCCTACCCTGTGGTAGCTTTAAAACGCTGAAGATGGGTCGTGTCGATTTCGCCTTGTCCCTAACACCGCGGGTCTCAGGATGGACTGGAGGCACTGGTGGGTGGCTACAGCCTCCGAAATGCAGAAGGCTGGGGGGTGTCATTGGGGACATTTGATTCTTTCTTAGTCATGTCATTTGTAACTTTGGGCGGAACATCTCGAAGCGCAGCTCATCTGATCCGCTGAACCAAATTATTATTTGGGTCACCAGGAATTCCGTCAATACCTTGCCATCAGCACCCTTTCATCCATGCGTTCATACGCGTTGTGATGGTGTGGAAGATAAACGATCCGTCTAGTCCCATAGATCTTCGTATTTGGTAAACTACAGTGGCGACGCACTGTCGACCGATCCAACCTCTGTAGCAATATGTGGCAAAGTGGAGGTGGCCCGCCTATAATTGTGATTGACAGCTGTGATCTACATCGTCAGAAAGGCTAAAGGATGTGTGAAAACCATCAACGTATCACTTTCGATACCATTGCGAGCAGTACGGCGGTTTATTTGTCTTCACGAGATTTGGGTTTAGTAGAGAACGTTTCTCTAGACGCTTGGTAGTGTGCCTCGAGTTCAGAGCCGCCTTTTCACTTTTCAGTGGTAGTTCTCTTTAACGGTTCATGCCCTTTGAGTGCGTACGGGAGCAGTTCCCTTCTATTCTACTCTCTCTATAACAGAACTCTTTGAACCTAGTACAAGTGGGTGAGAAACTGTCCCGTGTTCAGATCGAAGACGAAAGTGCTATTTCTCCAGTTCGTTCTCAGTTTTTTTCCACGAAATGATCACGAACGACTTCCCTTGTCTTATGCTTTATCTGGAGTAGAAATTCTATCACGTATTTACAGGTGAAGTCCCGTGAGGTTGAACTAAGTAATCACGCCAGGACTGCGTGCTTTCGCGTGTACTTTCAGATCGCAATGTGCTGTTGCAGTACCTACTTGAAATACCATAAATGTCTGATTATTGAACGGCTTCCTGAAACAATTCATGTAGCCTGTGGTCCCATTAAGGAAAAGTTGATTACAATGATGAGTGAAGTTCATGTGACCTTTGGAAACATCAGCCATCTTTGGAGATGGTGGGGATTTAAAGTTATTGGTTAAGAGAATGGTAAGCAATTCGGTCAGTGCTGTTGTACGGATGTGAGAGCTAATCACTGCGGATTGAGGGTGTTTAGACATTGGTTGTATTTGATCACCGACACTCATGAGGTATCAATCATGTCTGGTGACACCGAAGGTCATCATTTAGCGCTGGCAGTGCGCTCACCGGTGTCTCATCGAATCGTATATTAGACCCGAATTACCTCCACAGATTATACATTTTCTCGGCCGATTGCATCCATAGCGCTTTCAGATTCCTCCATAAGGAAATCATGTTCCTCCATACATCTTTCAAGATGATCCTCAAGGCTATCAAATTGCATCAAACGAACCTTTAAAATTCGTATTTCTCGTCGAATTGTCAATCCTAAATCATTCGACAGTATAACAGCTAAGTACATAGAGTGGGATGCTATTGACTAGCTTGGGATTGATCACTCAATGAACAGTTGCTTTTAGAGGCGTTCGCGCCTGTTGGATGCAATTTGATGATGTTAAGGACCATCTTTAGCGATCTATGAAGGAACATGTTTTCCTCAAGGAGGAATCTGGAATCGCTGTGAATGCACTTGACCGAGAATAGATACAAATCATACCTTTCACCAAACCGTCGATCGGTTAGCTCAGCGTGCATCGTTTGCTTTTGTTGTCTCCCACTAGCTCAAGTGTTGTGGCTGCCACTCTATGTCGTGGTGCAAAAGTATGCAGGAATTCACCGAGTTACGTCGATGCAGTTGCGGTGTCAGAAGCACACTTGCACTCGCTTCTAAATTTCCATGTCTTTTGTTTGCTGCTCTTGAGTTTACATTTCTTCCGTCACTCCCATCTTTTCTCTCCTTATTGACTAAGCCGTACGGTGACCGAAAGGGTTGCGCGTCTCTGTTGTGCTCCGGAGGTCCCCGGTTCGAATCCGCTTAGGTGCGGGCTACCTCGCGGTTTACGTAACACGCACATCTGATAGTAGTCACACGTCGACAAAGCGTCAGTACGATGTACCGGCGTACCGCTGTCGCCACCGCATCTTTGTGCACAGATCAAAGGTTAACAAGCGAACTAGACTAAACGAAATCAAATCGTTTTTGATGTCTTCCTTGGATTGCGACGCGCAATCTCTTTGAATTAAACTGCTGTCATTTTGGTCACTTGTATAGTAACTGATGCTGCATGTGTATATTAAGCGCTACCAGTCAGCAACCAAGATATACAGGCCACCACTATCTGATTGCAGGAATTATGACATAAGAAAGATGCTCTGAACGAGTGATCCTAAATTACAAATGAAATTTTATCATACTGCTGGTGGACCAGCTTTTGTTTACAAAAGCGGCCCATGGATAACTTCATTCATCATCATTATACACGTTATCTAGCAGTGGAAAACACCTCAGCTACCGTGCCACAACACAAAAGAAAATATGCAACGGATGCATGCCAGCTGTGCTACCAGCAACAAATGAGCATCGTTCCGGAAAGCTACCAGCCGGCTACGATGCAGCAAAAAATTTGTTATGCAAAATTATATTAGGCTATGAAATGAGATCGTGATTGTATGGGGCAACTAAGAGGGATGGGACATGACAAAGAAACTCACAGCACGAACGCCACTGAGGTCGGCTCCTAGCCATGTCAACAAGTGTATCCAGCCAAACGTCTTCGTCGTCTTTCGGACCCCAACTAGGGAGCCGAGACGCTACAACCGAGGCCAGCTTCGAAGTGATGGCCTTCATTCCTCTCGACCAAGTCATCGCTTGGCCACCTCTCCTCTTCTTCCATCCACACCCCCGGCGCGCAAACAACGCACGTCGCGGGAGTCGGTAGGCTGGCATGCGTAACAACTGGCTGAGCCATCGGAGCTTGGTGCGTGAAATAACCGTGCTGAATGGTTCAGTTCCTTTTTCCCGTGTCGTAAACAAGGCGTTAAACATGCCTGTTACTCACTCGGTGTTCCCACCAGATGTGGGCCAAGCTGCGACGGCACCAGTGGTCGAACGAGACTGTGTCTTTACATCGGATGATCTAAGGGTCCATGTTTCACAACAGTACAGTAGGGTCGAACGTACCGTTGCATTTTACACACTACCCTTCAGGGCGAGAGTGATGTCGTGCCGCCGCCATATGTGGCGAAGGTTAGCAAAAGCGCCTCGAGCTCTTGCTATACGACTCGTGATCTTATCTTCGATTCCAATGGTGCCGATACAGTTTGCCAAGTCGTTGAATTTCTGAACGACTTTTAGCTGATCCCCACCAAAGGTCAGCGCTGGTGGCAATCCCTGCCAATCTTGGAGCAAAGCTTTGCACTTCGATGGTGCAAAGCAATTCCCGAAGCGGCTGACAGACACTGCTAATTTGTCCAGTGCAGCCTGGCACATCTGGAAGCTGTCACAGATGATGACAATATCGTCTGCATACTCTAAGTCAATAAGTCGTTCTCCTGAGAGTAGATCCGCACCTAATTCGTGTCCTGTGAATGCAATCTCCATGAGTTCGTCAATAGCGAACTTGAAGAGAAAAGGTGACAACGGACATCCTTGTCTCACACCGCTGGAGATACTGAAGGGCGGCGACAGCTTGCCGTAAGCCTTTACTCTGCCTGTGCTACGCGCGTATAGTGCGCGGATAATATTTACATATTTCTCGGGCACTACTTTCCTGAGTTGACAGTCCCAAAGGGCACATCGATCAACCGAACCGAAGGCATCTTTGATGTCGAGGAACACGATTACGGTGTATGACGATGCTCCAACGGCGGACACAAAATGAAGATGTGGTCCATACATCCACGACCCAGACGAAACCCGGCTTGCTCCTCACGAATCTGACTCACCAGCGCCAGTTAGTCTGTGAAGGATTACAGAGGCCAACGATTTGGAGACGATGGTTTCAGACTAATTCCTCTATGGTTTCCGCGTTCCGAACGCGAGTCTCCTTTGAAGATCGAAACAATAACGAGGCAGATCCAGTCGGTTGGGACAATTTCCCGCTCCCACAGTTTCACTAGTTATTCGTGTAAATCATCAACAAGAGCAGGGCCCCGAATTTGAAGACAGCTGGATGTAGATCATCTGGTCCCGCGGCTTTGTTCAACTTCAATAGTCCGATCTCACGTTCGACTTCTGAGCGAGAAGGCGGATCCAAAGAGACTGCCTAGGGAGCAGGACAATCACTTGCCGGTGAGGAATCTAGCAATCGGCCGCTTAAATTGCTTTTCAAACTGCTCAGCCCAACGCTGCAAACGTTTTCACAGGTTGTGGATAGGCTGTCCACTCTCGTCATAAATTGTTTCACTAACACTGGGTCCCCTGTTGCCCATTTCCAGTATCAGGCGATGATTACCAAGGGCAGCGGCCACTTCCATCTCCGACGCACGAAGAGACCACCAAGATTCGCGGTCTCTCTTCAGGCTAGCACGGAGTTTTGCCCTCAGCTCTTTGCGTGTTTCATTGTGTTCGCTTCCAACCGGAATATGCCGGCGAGCATCGATAACCTCCAGCGACCGCGAAGAGCCCCCATGTCCATGTTGACTATCAGACTTATCACATGAGGATTTGCGTGTTGCTAGTAAGGTCTGGTGAATATGAGACCAGTGAGCTTCAATTGCATCCAGTGAGCGCTTACTCAACTCGCATGACAGAGTACTTTGATACGTATTCAGAACAGCTGTCTTCGTCAGTTGGCTGGTGTCAATGCGCTCACAACTTCATCGTGGGCGTCCGCCAAAACGCATCCGCATGTCAGCACATACAAGTGCATGATCGGTGTCCACACATGTGCTCCAAATCGATCGACAGTTGGACGCAGCCTCTCCAGCGGCAACTGATTGCAATGTGATCGATTTGCGTCAAAGGCTGGTGAACACCAAGTCACCCTCCGGCGAGTGCTGTGTCGGAAGTTAATGCGCGCAAGAAATAAGCGGGCATCTTCACACAAATGAAGTAACTGCTCACCGTTATCATTACGGGAGCCTGCACTGTGTTGGCCGCCCAGATGCAATTCATCAGTGGACAATTTTCCAATTTGAGCGTTTAGATCCGCCGCCAGCACAAGTGTCCGTGTTTCTTCTGTGGCGAAGGAGCTGGGCGATAGAAGTCGTTTTTTACCGAACCATCGCTAGGGTTTGTGGGCGCCTAGGCAGCGATGACGAATAGACACCTATTGGTCCCGCGCGACTTTGAACGAGCCATCCAGTCGGATCGCACACCTCCGGCTACTGCTTGGGATCCAATCAACCAGAGCGGCTTCAGCCCGGAGGCAGGGCGATGCCAGCACCTGTTTGGCCGGTGCTCAAAGCTGCATCGTCACCGGATAGACGCAGTGAGAAAATACTGCTTGCGTCACCTGAAGGGGATCGCAGAGTGAGCACAGAGCTCTAGTCTTGCAGGCGGGTCTCCGATAAACAGCAGATATCGATGGAGAGGTTCTCTAATGTTAGATCACGTGCTGCCCGTTGACCGATCTGTAGCAATGTGCTTACATTGAGGTAAGCCAATCTGAAGGAGGATCGAGAGCTCCAAACGCAAGTCGCTGAACTGGGGTTACCGCTTGGTTGGACATGGGCTTGTCGACAGTACAGGAGTGACGCTCCGCGTTCACCTGTGAATTGAAACTAGAAGATAAACGCGTAGTAAAGCATGTAGGGAGAGGGTCAAGAATCAGGGATTGAAAACTGAGGGAGTAAAAGTGAAGTTGAAACGGGACGATACGGGTGGAAAAAGTGTAATAGGTGAATACGAAGACTCGAAGGCGTGAGCAGTAGCATCCAAACCCCTATCCACCCTTCTCGATGCAGCAGATAGGGTGCAGTTTAATATCCTCTGCGGTGGCCAGAACATCAGGAATTTGTTTAAAGAGAAATTCATTGTATTGCGTGGGCAGGATGCTGTCAGGTTGCCCAGGCCTAGACAGGAGAACGATTAGGGTTCTCAACCAAAGCCTTTGGTTCGAGAACCTGACGGCAAGGCTGCGGGTTTGGCGGTGTGCTACAAGGAGTCCGTTTTAAGGAGTAAGGAGCCACCATCATTCCAGCCCCTAACCTGGAGGACCAGGAGGCTGAGTTTGTCTGACCTCTAACCATTGACCAATATGGTATGAGTCTCTGAATGTGTAAAAGCACCACCCAGTATAGCTCAATGGATCTCTGAGGCACGCAAACCATCGCACCACATTAAGGTCCAGCCTCATTGCGATGAATGGATACCTTAGTCTGTGGCAGATTGTCTAGTCTCAATTGCATCTGCAAACTGCGCTTTCGTATAGGGATCTGATGCGCCAGTAACCCAGAATCCGACACCGTTTTCCACTTCATCTGTCTCCAATCGATCATACCCAACATTTCGCCCAAAACTACTATCGCTACGCGTGACCCCTTAGCCAATTTGTACTGCCCCTCAAATACACTACTGGTTCAGACGTCGACGTTCGTGATGTCCGTTCATGATTCTCTAAGCGAGTCTCATTCCATTACAGTTTAGCTCATTGCATGGGGTATCACCACGTGATTCTTACAATCTGATGGACACTCCGTTGTCGCTTTCTGTACAAGAAATGTGGGGACCAGGTAACCAAATGCCAGACTGTTGGCAACACCCCAATGGGCTGGATTGCTGAAGTAAGGTGTTAGACTGCTGCTGGGACACACTGTTGCCGGAAACCGGATACTCATTGGTATAGTTGGTTGTAAGTTCAATTTACACCACGGTAATTCTCTTTTAAAATACTTATGGCCTCAAAAAGTCCACTTCACACCACTAACCTAGAGAGTGCAATCAACTTACCTGATAAGAATGGGTCAAGAATAGGTATGGTTGTCCAGTTTTGATTTCTGGACAAAAACAGAATTTTTTCGCGCCTCGAATGTCCGCGGCGTTTGTTGCCTGGTTCCTTATCCACACAGGGAACGGGGGCAAATTTGGTGAAGCTTTTTTCGGCAACAGGCGTTCAGCAGCTCCATCGATTCGCCATGTCTCACGAATACGCACATTGAATCGAATTTTGTCGTCCTCAGGGTTGTACGATTCCGCGACCCCCAGAAACACTGTGTTTAAGGGGAACAAACAAGTCAGTGTTCGTTTCGAGGAGACTGACTTATGCATCAACCAGAAATACTACCGTAAAGATTTAACAAGATACAGTGATGGTGTGATGAGAAAACAATTGTGAAAATTACTATGAAGTGGAAAATTGAATTTTCAGTTTGCTTATTGATGAAATGCTACCAAATTTACTGAACGATAGCACGGCGAAGATGAATCATACCATTGCTCGCATATAATCGAAACCCTGCAAAAGTATACTCTTCCCCATTGCTATGCACTTAGTAATTTCGGTTGAATAGAATGCTTGCATAATATCACACAGAACGGACTAAAAACTCCACATCTTCTCACTTTTATATGCCATTATATTGTGACGCATCTCAATTACTGCATTTGCACCCGCTACGGATGAAATTGGGATCGGAATATTATTGACACATGGATTTAACTGATCACGCTTATTTAGGCGCACCTCGTGCTAAATCGAGAATAAGCATTTTAATTATTCTGTTACCTTTGCTCATTTGTGTTACGTGTCACCGTTAGGCGTATTTAGAACGCTTGCACACCAAAGCTCACAGGTATCAAGAGAGCAACTAAGCACAGAACATTCCACACATTTCGGATGACAGGCGACCCTAGGTCTCGCTTAGAAATTCTTCAGTTCTTATGTCTCCATCAATGGGATGGTACAGGTGGACATGGTTTCTGTTGTACGCGTCCCTTCGAATGATCTAACTGGCTGTCACAAGACTGATGGTTAAAGGTGCTACCAAATAAACTGATGCTCCTGACGATCGCCAAGTATCCCGCATGAGAAACGAATGCGAATCTTACCGCATCAGTGTGTGAGAACATGGTCTACACAAAATCACGTTCGCACCTAATCGTTTCACTACAGAAACCGTTTGCAGCATAGTACGGATGGCCGTATGTCAGTGCGAGCATCACGAATGATTGCTGTGCGAACCTAGTCCCAATGCCGTACGAATAAGCAGAACAGGAAAGTCCTATGGCATTCCGGTCGGATCTACTGCGTTTTCGCTCACAGTTGATAGCCACTGAGACTGATCCTGTTCCTGAGTTTCAACTGCTGACGGCGCATGTGAATGCATGGTCTAGGCACCTTCCACTGGGTGCTTCATCACACGGATCTCTACCTCAGCTGGTCTCTGTGTCATGCGAGTCCTTCACATTAGCGGCCCATCTTCGTCTTGGGCATCCGGCATGGTGAGCTCTGTCTTCGGCCGTGGTTTCAAAGTTTGGCTCGTGCATTGCATGGGTGTTGAACAGAAAAGATGTAGAGCAGTCTTATGCAAATGGAAAAGATAAGTCATTCTAATTACCATAGACTGAGTGATTCATTTCCCTTTCCGAATTGCCTTAGTCACAGCACACAGAGGACTTAGAGAATACCTGATCTCCCACCTAGACGGGTGTCCGTCACCGATATCGCACATTACAATATGTATGCATCTGGCTTTGTGCTTATGTTTTGCCTAATCAAAATGTTGTGTTGAGGGTATATATTTGCATCAATTAATATGCTTAAGATACGTCATGTTATAGACTACCAAGGTGATAATATTCCTCTAGTACGAAAAATCTTTAGTCGATTTTCAAAAATCGCTAGCTTACATAGATAAACCAATGTCAAATTTAACTTCTGCATGCTCAAATTATCTGAGAACCAATGCTGGTTCCTTTGCAGTGAAACTGGTTGTCCTGTAGTTTTCCTATCGAATTGGCTTGGCTTGTTCAATGAACGTCAGCAAACCTTGTCCTCCTATGGGCAGCGACTGTCACGTGCATGGACGACTTTGCACCAAAGACAAAATTTGGAACTTGGAGATGGGCGCTTCATATATATATATATATATATATATATATATATATATATATATATATATATATATATGATTGGCGGCATCCGGTTTCGGATTCGCCTGTCACTGTGACCAGCCACAGGACACCTGCGCCTACAGAAGGACCATGGGTGGCTTGCGCTGCACCACCCACAGCTCCAACCACACACCCCATATCCAGTGTAAACCCGAAGGAATAAGACCGGGAGGCATGCGGATGGGAGCCACGTTTCATCAACGGAGCCGGCCCACACTCCTTCACAGGCAAACACAAGCACGCTGTATTTGGGAAGCAAGCTCACACACAAGGCGATGGCTGGACCGTAGTCCGCTCCACACTGAGTGCATGGAACCGCTCATTGAGCCTAGCACGGCCACAGCGACTGTGCACCCCGTCCCTCCAGCAACGACCAACTGTCTCCTGGAGCCAGTATGAACGAGGTAGTGGGTAATAGACAAGTAGACATCCCATCAGCATGCACATCAAGCGCAGCCACACCGGGGATATCAAGCAACAGCCATTCACTTTAAACGACAAGCTGAAATAAAATAAATCCAATAATGCATACAGATACGGTGGCATAACTTCCCTAAATTACCATATGAAGTAATTTGGTTAGCAACGAATCCGCGATAAGTAAGAAATGTCCACAAGTTAGTTAAAAATGCTACAAACGCAACAAAGTTACCGAAGATAGGCGCAATTAGCGTAAGCAACGTGGCCAATTAATAGAAGATTAATCAGGTAGGCAGAGCAAACCAAATAAAGTAGAATGAAATTTAGCTAGCTTACAAAGACCTAGTTTAAGTGAAAGTTGGTTTAGCCCAACTGCGGTGATGAAGCATCAAGAATGCAACATCAGCCTCTTCTAGTTAAACCAATGATTGGTCGAACCGACGATTGCGGGTGCGATGTCGGACTCGAGACTCGATGAGGATTGTCTTCACAAGGATGACATTTCGGAACAATCCCATTATATACAGACTTATTGTCTATACCCCTCCAGTATCATTTTAGATCAACGTTTTGCCGAAACGTATCATGATAGATGTCTGGGGCCTTATACTACAACCGTCATAGTCCCTTGCTTATCATGAACCAATCCTGTCTTGTATGATTGTTGTAAAATAATCACTAGATGTGAGATTGTGCATTCTCAGCGCTAAGGGTATTCTGCTTCTGAGTTTGACCGCTTACAGGTCGCAGGACAGCGGGACTTTAAAACTACGGCCATCAGTGTGCTTCTGTCTAAGGACAAACGGTATGTGATAACCTACTATGTTAAGACCAATAATGATCGATTACTTTTTCCGCTCGAAGGAGTGCAAGCCGAACCACTAGTGTTGATCAAACTTACTACCCCGCACTCATCGCTGTATGGTTTGAGCACTGGATTTCACAGGCCAACATCACCCCTTAACGTGAGAGTGAACTGGTTCGCAGACAATCCCAGTCAACGAATTTCCTTTAATGCACTTGCTTACCGTTTCCTGTTTAGAGGATCATCAGTGATGTGCATTCGCCATCCACTGTCGGGGTTCGAGGCTGCTACCACAAGTTAGCGAAACAGTGGCTAAACCATGGTGAATGCTGGCAACCACGTTGGCCAGGTAGTGACTAAAGAAGAACTGTAACACATTTTTCCTAAATATGTACGTCGGAGCTGTACAGTGCACAGGATTGCGCCCTAGAGTAACAACCAGGCGGCATTACAAAGAGATCACGACAGCGTCTAGACATGGTTATCCGAAAACCGGCCCCAGTTTAACTTGACCAAATGCAACGTTCTGAGCATATGACATCACTGTACTCATGAATATTGACTGGGATAACGGCAACTGAAACACGCTACACATGAAAGCGACCTCGGCGAAATCTTGCAATACGATCTTGGTTGCTCGAAACAAGCTGAACTGGCATGGGGATCAGACGGCATCTTGATCTACTACGAACGACGTTCGGAAAGTTCGCACCATCAAGCTTGCCACAAATGCTGAACACCCACGTAAGGCCCCACGTGGAGTATGCGATCCAGGCCTAGCGACCTTGGCGCAAACACGATGCTGAAGCGCTTGAAACGCCACAACGTAGGGCGATGAAAATCGTTAGAACACTGTTTCACCTCCCCTACCAACGTAGACTGCAAGCCCAAGGCTTGTACAGCGATGATTATCGGTGCGTGCGAGAAGACCTCATCATTGTGTACCAAATACTGACTAACCCAAATCACGGCTGTCGCGATCCGTAGCAAGTCAGCCGAAAAAACCCTGTCAACATGATGACAGCTCACTTGCCTTTATTCCACATTAGGATATGGTCAGATGAGGCGTCGAAGTGCGGATGGAACGTCTGGATGATCTGCTCTACATAGAAGCAGGTACCCAGGAGACGGCTCCACGGATGGTAGTATTACTCTACTTGAACTGCCTGCTATGCCTACATTGATTCCTACAGTATATTTTCCACATTTTTAATACTTTTAACTAATTGAACACCATCAAGCTTTTCTGGGACCTGCATAGTGGAATTCAACAAATTTTCTCCGCCATCCAACTATGTTGTACATAATGATCAGACAATGTATTTGGTCCGTGTCTTATACCGTTGAGAAATGTACAATTTATTTATTTTTTATAATACCGGTCTGAGAGGCCACTGGCTCAAAGTGGCTACACACAGTCGAATTGATTAGGAACAAAACTTTTCCCCCTTCGGTTATCCAGAATTTGGAACGCTGTTCTTTCTCACGTTATTTTCGCCCCATATTTACGGTTATTAAAATACCATTGGACTACAATCTATCCTATATACATAACGTGACGTAGTCTCTTTCCATCGAAAGACGAAGCAACGCCAACAGTATGTTCACAAGCCCTCTCTGCTATGTAGCGGTGGGCAGACCAGCATATGTGTTCATGTGAATAAGTCAGTGGGTCACCTCAAACCAGAATTTTTCCCTTTTCTTGTTATTTTGTACCGTTATTTTATTATGCCCACTCCGGTCATCCTACTTGCTTTGTCAATCAATCGCTTTTTTGGCCGTTATAAATCAGTGTTCGTCGTGCAACTGCTTCCCACACTACTACTCCATCAACTCCGCCGAAGTATTAATGATTTACATAAATTTAATACA